GCTCCACAATTGTTACCTCATTCTTTATTTAGAACCCTTTGTTGTTGAGTGCTAATGAAGATTCTGAAAGATGTCTGAAGTAGGAGTAATCAAAATTATCTTGATTAGCCTTCTTTTCTAGGTTTCTATAACCAAATAAATTGAAGTCATTATTACATTGTTAAAGCTTCAAGTTCAGGGGAAATTTTTTTCCTAAAAGCTGTGAAGCTTTAGAAATATGATTCTGCAGAGTAATATCAATGGTCATTACTCCATCACTGATAACTGACTTCAATCCAGGCACCATGAGTCTTTAAAGTGTGACTGTTTTAGTGCAATCGTCATTTTTGGTTGGATAAAAATGAAGTCCCTGCAAAGAGCACACTAACCAGTCTGTCTCTTAGAGAGATGTTGCAAAATATATCAGAGAGCTTTTGAAGAGCCAGTTGTCTTCATATTGAGGAATCGCCAGGAGCAAAGGAAGAAAACCCTGGTGGGGAGATGCTTAATAGAAATCTCCTGCATGAAGCAAGGGAGAAGTAAAAATTTCAGGAAGCTCATTTGATGCTTAGAGAAGGATACTTGTGGGAAATGTAAAACTGAAACAACACTAATAACAAAGCCCATTTATTTTCTCCTCAATTGGGAAAGAAGAGAACAAGTGGGAGACAGACCTAAGATTAATCAAAGGTGGAATCTTGAAGGAGAGATTAAATGCCTACTGCAATCCATTGGGCATGTTTTATGGATGTAACATTGCTGGCCAGCAGAGGTAAAAATGTGGAAAACCCTGTTCCTGTGGAGAATATTTGGGCAACCTATTGAGTTCTGAAAATCATAGTCAAAAGAAAACAAAAACAAATACTGATTAGCCATTGAAAATGCAGATCATCCTTGTCTTTTTTTCCCTCAGATGGTCCAAAACTCTACTCACTCCTTCTGCTATAATTTCCTCTCTTAATCTAAATATATTATGTATGCTTTTGAAAGCTGCTGCATCCTTTGTTATTCAAATCAAAACGTGTTGTGAGTGAAGTAGGGAATTTGGTAAGCATTTCATTCTGAAAATTCCAATTGACCTCACCAGCCCTCTTATATGAAGTGACATAAAGCCAATTATATTGACCATGTGCTGTGTGAATTCTGCTTATGGGGAAAGGTTTTCCGAAGATTGTTAGATATCAAATAACAATCACCTGAAAGATAAAGTACTCATCTATTTAATTTCAGAGCTAGGAGCAACTTTCAATATTGTCTAATCTGTCTCCATGTAATTATATCTCTCAGATTTTTTTTCCCACCCATGAGATATAAATAATTTTTCCCCCTGGAGTTCTTATCTCTCTTCACCTATACTGCCCCTGAAGCAGTATCACTTCTCTAGCCTTTGTACTTTTTGTTTGTTTGCTTGCTTGTTTTCTTTTCTGAGACAGGATCTTGTACTGAACTTTTGAACTTCTCACCTTAGCCTCCCAAGTAGATAGGATTATAAGCACATTCCACCAGTTTACCCTTTATATTTCAAAGTTAGCAACTCATACTCTTGTAGCTCAAAACTTTTTCTTAAAAAATAAATTACTGGCAGGCACAGAAGCTCATGCCTATAATCCTAACTATTCAGAAGTTAGAGATCTGGAGGATAGTGGTTCAAGGCCAGCCCCTGCACAAAGGTTTTGAAACCCAAATTTCAGCCAATAAAAGCTGGATGGGATGGCTCATGCCTGTCATCCCAGTGACATGGGAAGCATAAACAGGAGGATTGTAGTCCAGGCCAGCCTGGGCATAAAAGAGAGACTTTATCTCAAAAATAACCAAAGCAAAAAGGTCTCAAGTGGTAGACCACTAGCAAGTGCAAGGTCTTCCGTTCAAACCCCAGTACTGCCAAAAATAAATAAATACTTTAGTTTCTAAGTGCTGCTTAGAAACCCCGGAGCCACAAATATGTTGATGTATATTAGGGCTTCAGAACTTTGGTACTGCTAACATTTTAGAAGGATAATTACTTGTGAGGGGCGCTGTCCTGTGTACTGTAGGATATTTAACAACATCCCTGTCAAATACCCTTCCTACTCCTTGCCAGGGTGGCCACCAAAACTGTCCCCCAACATTGTCACCTTTCCTGCAGGGATAGAGATGACTCCTGGTTGAGAACTACTAATGTATATGGTTTGTACAAAACAAATAATCAATAAAACATTTAATGATTGAAAATCCAATTCTCCCTTTACCATACACACAACCTCTCCAACACTGAATGCCATCATTTTGTTAAAATCTTTACCAATTCAGTGGCAATTGTTATGATAATATTAAATTAGAATGCATCCTAATGTCCCCATGCTATAACACTTGTTAAAACAAATGTAGAAACAAGAATCTTTTGCCAGTCTGGGGTTATAAAAGTGGAATGTTGTAGAAAATAAGGTCTGATTTTTTTTGGCAGGGGGGTATGGTACTGAGGTTTGAACTTAAGTCTTCACCCTTGATAGGCAACACTCCTAACCCTTTTGACTCTGGTATTCTGGAAATAGAGTCTCTCTTTTCGCCCAGGCCAGCCTGGACCTCAGTCTTTCTATTTAATGGTTCCTGCCATCAGTGGGATGACAGGCACACACCACCACACCCAATTATTGGTTGAGATGGGGGTCTCACGTACTATTTGCCCAGGGTTGGCCTTGACTTGAGATCTTCCCAATCTCAGACTCCCAAGTATAGTTAAGATTGCAGGTGTGAGACACCAATCCCTGACTACTGATTTAATTCTATAGTCTTGATGTGCAAACAAAATGGTTTAAATGGCATCTACATTAAACCCAGAATTGAGCTGGCTAGGTGAAAGTTGTCTGTAATCCCGTGGAAAGCTTAGGAAGTGATTTAAAGAGTCTACCTAACAGTTATCCCAGGTTCAAGTCCTAGCACTTATGCTCATTAGCTGCGACTTGATACAGTTATAATAGCTCTAGGTTGATATTTCTTCACCTACAAGCTAGAAGACCATCTGCTACACATTTCCCATGGGCTAATGAGGCATAGCAAAAGCATTTGGAGTGCACATAGATGTGCTTTAACTGTGTGGAGGAAGGTAAGAAAGTAACTTTCAAACTTAGGGTTCCCAAATTACCCTCACTTGAAATAGTGAAACACTTCAGCAATAAAATATAAAGGAATAAATCATTCAAATCTCCTGAAATAGCTTTAAGATGATAATAATTAAGATTAAAAGCTAAAGGATTGAGACTTCCACTCCTGACCAAGATGGAATAAAAGAGGGCTGGGGAGGTATCTCAGTGGTAGAGCACTTGTCTAGCTTGTGGAAGGCCTGGGGTTTGGTCCCCAGCACTGGAAAAGAAAAGTGGAATAAGACTGGATTACACACACACACCAATTAAAAATAAATACACAAAGCATCAAAAAAAAAAACTATTTAGAAAGCAATGTTTAAGGCACTGGACATCAAGCAATGAAGGGGCCTCTGAGAGAAAGGAAGCAGATACAGCAAGTGCTATGACTACCTCCCCCAACTCCAAGCTGCAGTATTGGGGAAAGGAGCCCTGGGGAAGCTGGTGGACCCTGTGTGTTGAGGAGGTAGAGCTCAGAGTCCAAGAGACTGAGGTGGCTAGAGTTTGCAGGACAGAAATATCAGATGAGCGTGATGCACAGAGAGCTCTGGAGACATGCGCAGTACCCCCTCCCGTGTTCAGCAATAGTCCTAATCAATGTGTGTATGCAAGAAAATTGCCTAAATCCAAGAAAATGTCCACCCAAAAGTACTAAGAGGAACATTACCTGGTGCTTACACTTGGATTCCTGCCTGTGCTCTCCAGCCAGACTGGAGAACCTCTTCATTCATAAGGCACTGGGAGCCTACTCAAAAGAGTCTTTCTCAACAGAGGGCAATAACTGACCTTAAACTTGACACTGTTCTGGTCTAACCTAACAAATCTGAAAATCTAATATTTTTATTAGAAAAACTAGGTTAAAAAAAAAGAAAAACTAGGTTAGAAAATTTGAAAGATTGATCTGTTTCCAAGTAACTAAACTATATTTCAGAACAAATCTGAAGAATATTTATAAGAATATACCCAGCAACCAGCAAAGTCCTATTGTCAATACTTAACATCATATATATATAATAGCATGGAAAGAAACAGGAAAATATACTCCATAATAAGGGGAGAAAAATCAGTCAAGATGTACTGAGAACTGACACAAATGTTAAAATTAGAAAAGGTCATTAAAAGTTATTTTAATTGTATTGCAGACATTCAAAAACTTAAATAGATACATAGAAATTTTTTTAATAAATCAGGGTAGGGATGTAGCTCAGTGGTAGAGCATTTACCTAGCATGTGAGAAGCTCTGCGTTCAATCCCCCAGAAGCACATACACGCACACATACACACTCACACCCACACACAAAGACTCAAACATCTAGAGATGAAAACTACAATGTGTGAGATGAAAGGTACCTGGGCTGGATTCACAGAATAGCCATATACTGGAATGTTACTGATAATGAAAAGGAATGAACCATGGTTATAACACTGATGAATCTCAAAATAATTTTGCTAAGTGAAAAAAATCTTTAATATAGTATCTATAGTATTCAGTATAGTATCTAAAATTTGGTTTGGAGGTTCTTTTAAATTTTTTTCTTCTTTTTTCATAAGAAATTTTTAAAAATTTCCCCCTGTTGTTTTTAACTACATATTTTCATATTTTTATTTAAAAAACTGATTTAGAAAGCCCTGGGTAAATTTCAATTATCTTTTTTAGAACATTCGTTTATAAATTAAGAAAATGCTATACATTTTTCTTAGCCATCAGTGATTGTACACATACTTCTTTGCTCTGCCCTATTTGATATGAGATCTGGGCTGAAAGACCCTCCAAACGTCTGGCTAAAGACTCGAATGCAGTTCTTCTGCTTCATTACAGATTCAGCTGTGCTCATGGTGCTTTGGAATGAGCTGATTAATGTATTCTCATGTTCCACACTTGTCTGTCCTCACTTCCCCCAGTTCGATGCTGACCGAAATGAGGATGAGGTGTTCTATGACATCAGCGTGGCTGTTGACAACAAGTTATTTCCAAACAAAGAGGCCACATCAGGTAAGTCTCTGTGTCCTTTGGGTAGTGGTACCCATGATCACCAACCAAATGTCCCAGGCTTTTTTGTGAAACTCAACAAACTGCTGTAAGGCTTACAGGATGGCCCTGTGTTCCACAGCCTCGTCCTTTCTGGTTTAAAAATAAAGGTACAAAACAAAATAGAAAGGAAGGGCTATAAATCTGTTCCTTATAGCTAGCTAATGCTTTTCTTCTTGTCACTCCACATATAAACAGCAGGTAGTCACAATGTAGCATAGGACTTATTATAATTGAAAATATCTAACCTAATCTGTACTCTGTGCCAGAAGTAAAAGCTACAATTACTCCAAGACCCCCTCACTCACATGAGTTTTTCTCCTGTGCTGCCCGGTAAAAACATCTCCCTGCATCCTGCATGCAGCCCCTCTCTCCCATCCCAACCTCAGCTCAACTCCCGTGAGACCCCACGCTTTCTCCTCAGTCTCACTGGAAGTTTGCTTGTGGGATGCTGGTGAGAGTAAACTTACATCCCAGGTAGACCATACTTGCCCTTCTGCCCTTGACCTTCCTCCCATTCTCTACTCTCTCTGACTCTGAACCTACTGGACTTCAACTCTCAGGTACAGTAATGACCCTCAATGTTTTATTTTTTGGTTTTTACCTTTTGTGGCCACAACTCAGAAGATCAGGGATGAGGACAAGATTGTTAGGATTAAAAATAAAAGTTTGATTATACACATGCTATCTGCAAATAAATCACCACTCTGAAAACAGCAGGTTCTGGCTTTTCCATGAGCCTCCCCAAAGACTATAATCCAGAGCTTCTGAAGAATGGCTCCTTCTCCCAAGGAAATGGGTGCGCAGGAGTGAGTGCATCCAGATAGCCTTCTGATTCTGTGACAATTATCCAGTGCATCTGTAGACACGCACCCCACCTCACCTTAAACCTATCCAGCTCACTGGTCCAAGAAGGCTCTGCCTGGGACAGGTGTAAGCCCATAGCTCAACTTCCATCTTCTCTTCTGCTAAGAGTTAAGAAAGGCATGCCACTCTGTTGGATAAATACATTTCAGGACACCTCTATAGTAATTCTTTTCCTGGGCCACAGCCTTAGAGTCCTCCCATGACTGTCCACCTGTAGATCGTATAGTCCAGGAGGTTTGATACAAAGTGTTTCCTTTTTTCTTTGGAACAGTAGCTTCTGTCTCCAGGTTCTTTAACACAGAGAACTTCTGCACAAGCTCTTTAGGATTCTTCTCTCTGTCATCCATTTCCATGACCTTCACTTTTCCCTTTTATTTTTCCTTGTGGGACTTAGGTTTGAACTTAGGGCTTCATGCTTGCAAAGCAGACACTTTACCTCTTGAAGCACACCTCAATCCATTTTGCTCTTATTATTTTGGAGTTGGGGGGGTCTCATGAACTTTTTGTTCAGGCTGGATTTGAACCTCAATTCTCCTGGCTCAGCCTCCCAAATAGCTAGAATTACAAGCGTGAGCCATCACTTTTCCCTTTCTGAGAGTCATCACTTTGTTGAAGTCTGTAGCCAACCCATCGTGATCAGGTTCTGCGCAGCAATCTCACGTTGACCCCTACACGTTGCATTCCTTGATCTCTTCCCAGAGACACAGACGCAATGCTCTTGCTCTCATAACCCATGGTAATCAGTCTTCCCTGGGGACACGGTAGGCATCTGCACCTACTTCCCTATTCCCACGCAACTCACCAGAGGCCTTGTCCCTCCTCATTCCTGGCTTCTGTCTGCCAGAAATCCGGATCTGCGTAGAATGCCTCCCTGACAAACAAAACAAAGCAAAGAAAAACCTTCAGTGGCATTTCTGCAGGCTGGGGGCCAATCTCCGTAGCAGAGAAGAACCCGAATGCTCTGTTATTCCTGTGGTCCTGTTACCCTAGCAGTCACCTCCACCCCTCACCCACTGCAGCTTCCTGTACTTCCTTGAATGGCTCCAGTATCTTCCTGCCTCTGGACCTTTGCATCTGCTTTTCCAATCCTTCAAGTGCCTGTCCCCAGTGCATCCCTCCACTCTCACAGCTCCAGAGTCTCACCTTCCCTGCATAGGTCCTCCTCAGTGCCTCTGTCTAAACATGATTTATTCGAGGAGGCTAGACACTGTCCCAGTACATCAGGCCCTTGTGTATGCCTGTACTTTTCCTTCAGGATTTTTGTCACCCTTGTGATTATATAACTAGGTTCAGGATCGTCTATTTCTTTATTAGAGCACAAGATATCATATGGACAGTGTGTGTGTGCATACATGTTGGGTGTGTATGAGTGTGTTTATGATACCCAGTGTGAATCTCACAGGAGATAACACATAAAGGCTTTCTTTTCCAGCTGGTCACCTCCACTGGGTCACTCATCTAAACAAGTGATCACAGGTCAGGCACACCAAATGTTTGCCTTCAAGAAGAGTATGCATTTGGTGGCCTCCTTGCCTTTTCCTCTGGGCAGACAAGCCCTTGACCCCTGCACCCTTCAGCATCATCTGCAGTGTCTCCTTTTCTGTGGAGTCCCATCAGCTCTTCTAGCAGAGCCATCTGACTGCATTAATCCATCTCTCTGGGCCTATTCCCTTATCTAGAAAGAGGAAACAATAACGCCTACCTGTAGGATTGTTGGAAGAGGAAACAGGTCCTCTGTGTAAAGTTGTAACATTAAAAAGGCCATATATGAGCTAGTATCTTTGTAAGGACTTGAGGGCTCACAGGGAGAGACCACATATTACATAACACAGCATTCCCTCCCTTTCCTAGATTTGCTTCTACTCTCTTCTCCCTCCCTCTCTTCTTCCTTCCCTCAACTCCTGTCTTGGAGTACCTGAAAAATCACTCCCCTCCCCCTCCTCACTCAGAACAGCCCTTCACCATGCAGTTCCCTTCAGGGACTTGTCTTCTTATCCCAAATACTGCCAGAACATTTTTCCAAGTAAATACGGCACTCTTCCTCAAAGGATTTCTGATGCAAACTGCTCTGACACCTTCCCTGCCTATTGGAATTAGAGCCAGATTCTCACTGTTTAAGGCACATCAGGCACTTAGAGGAGGTGCTTCCTGTCTGTACAGAGAACAAATGAGAGCAAGATCTGTAAAGGTACAAGGCCAGGTGAGTGTACTTTGATTCACTCTCAGTCATTCAGTGCATATGTGTTGAATGCATATAATTTCTAAGTTATGAGTTTTGAGTCAGGAATGAAACAACCCTACAAGGTGGCTTACAGTTTAATGGCAACAGGGTGACACTGCTTTCCTTAGAGAACACAGATACAGTATTAAAGGAGTCTTATCTACCTTTGCCTGTCACTGTTCATGAAGCCTGCGTTGCAGAGGGCCTCTTTATTTGGCACTCAAAGGGTGGAAGATATTCCTGGAACTTTATATGGCAGATCTACCAGATGACCCTCTAGTACTTGTAAAGCTAACTTGCCTCATGTTCCCACTTAAAACCTGAAAATACTATTTCCAAAGATGATACTACATCTAAAATTAGTGACACTTAGTTTTCCCCATGGGGTTCTACATTTCAGCTCAGACATTTCTTTGTTGCCTATAGAAAGATTATTTTTAAACCTAAAAAGATATTGAGAAATTCAAAATAGGAAGAAATGAAAGCCACACTCACTTTTTCAAGTGCCCTAATTCTGCTATCTTTTTTTGGGTTAACAAGATCATTGCAGTGTTTTGTAGGTTAATGTTTCCATGAAATAAGGCAAAAATATGTACATATGTCTGTATTTTCCTCCCCTTTTCACTTGCCAAACCTTGGACTATTATTAAAGGTCCCATTTTCAGCAAACCAAGCAATCATTGCTAAAAGAAAATGAAAGCTATTCAATCATTATCTGGGCTGACAATGGTATCCTTTGTCACCTTCTATGATATATTACTACCGTTGCCAGGAGCAACAATGTGTCAAGAAATTCCATCCCTAATGATACAATAAAATTTCCATTAAAAGCACTTGATTAAGAGAGTCAATGTCTTCTTCCTTATAAGCACTAGATTTGTTTTAAACAAAAATCTTTTTGTTCTGCCATTGCTAAAAATAGTTTTCTAATAAATTTGCTTCAGTTTCAAATATTAATATGTAATATCTGTTAACTGGGCTGCTTAAAAGCCCTGCACAGTGTACTTTTTAAAAACAATTGACAGAATGGTTTCCAGTTATAAAATAAGTATGACACAGGAACTAATAGGATCTATATGTTTAATAAGACTGCACTCATTGCACATGAATCACTCTAGTTAGAACTGAGGTAAGGGTAGCATTTGGATCCACACACCTAACCTCTTCACTAGTCAGTGGTAGATAATAGCCATACTGTGGCCATAATGAAAGCTTATCAAATTCACATTACTTTCATTGCTGCTGTCAATAAGTTACCTAGAAAGGAACATTGGCTGTCACATGCTTGAAGGCAGATCCTTTATTACACTTGTGATTTTTCCCTTTCCACAATCACCCTACAGTCAGCTTCATCATAAACCATCCATGATTCCTCATTTTCCCAGGATGCAGAGTAGACGCTTCACTCCTCTGGGTCCTCACCTAGATGGCACTGTAGGTATCTATAAAGCCATCGTACAGCTCCTGCTTGGCATTTGGAGGCAGCAGGGTGTGTTAGGAGGAGAAGTGGGAGCTAGGAATCCTAGCTCTTGTGTACTTTCTCTATGACCTGGGCCAAATTATTTAACTTCTCTGCAACTCATTTCCCTCTTTTCTAAAATGAGGAAGTGATAGTCTGTGAAACATTGGTTCTAAAATATCTATGACACATGATGGAAAAATGTACAATTTACTTCTGACATTTTTACTGTCTAATAACAAACTGACTTTGAAACTGGGCTTTGAGCCAGTCAAGTATTTGACCCCAATATGTACTTAGAAAATTCTTTATTTGAAAAATACCTGAGCATGAAGATATAGATATATATAATTCCACTAATTTAAAAATGTATATATAAAAATTAAAATTTCCCACAATGGTTCAAGTGTCTCCATTTTGGGTTTTTTTTATTATATTATTATTGTACTGGGGGTACATTGTAACATTTACAAAAGTCCTTACAATATATCATAAGTGTCTCTATTTTGGAAAATTTTATCATCCTTTTAAAAAAAAGTTAAAGATACAAACACAATACACAATGGTTTCACTGCCCAATACTTAGTCAATTTTGGTAATGGCTAGTACTTTGACAATTTGGCAGACAGCAAGGTTAGTGATGGGAAGAGAAGCTGTGCATGATGGCAGTTTCTCTTACCAGAGAGTCTGAGGATCTCAAGTTTGAGGACAACCTGGGCTACATAGTGAGACCCTGCCAAGAAGAAGAAGGAGAATGAGAAGGAGAAGGAAGAGGGAGAGAAAAAGGAGCAAAGGAGAAAGAGAAGAATGGAGAAGGGGTAGGAGGAAGAGATAGAAAGGAAGGAGGAAAGGGGAGAGGGAAGGAGAAGATGGGGAGGGGGAAGGAAGAGGAGGAGAAAAAAGATAGGGGGAAGGGGATGAATGAAGAAGAGGAAGAGAAGGAGAGATGAGAAAATACTGGGTGAGAACATACCTTGACTCTCATTTTGGAAGAGAATATGACTGCAACATCTCTGAGACAGGTTCATATCTGAAGTGCTTGGTGATCATTATTAAACATTATTCATTTCATATTCTTACCAAGAATTATTTGGCAAGGCCAAGCTTATAATGAAACATTTATTATTTCACAGCATTGAATTCTGTCTGCCTGGCTGGGTAGGTAATATATATTTTACAGTAAGAAGGAGCTATTAAATGAGAACTCCGAGTCAATTGTGTTTCAGGAGTCCCATTGTGAAAAATACTGGTTTAAGTTTGAGCCTTGGGAATTTAGGGGTAAGCAATTTAATGTATCCTGTAGTACCTAAGAGAAATCATCTCTCTGTTAATACATTAACTTAGCCTATTTTTTCTCACCTTCAAGAACTAAGGTGACCCAAAGTCTGGAGGGAAAGCAACTCAGGTTTTGGAGTAGGCAAACTTCTTATTCCTAGAAACCCCTGATTCTTCTCCCACTATGTACATGTGTTCCTTCTACGTCACTTACTCTTGCACATCCTGAAGCTGTTTCTCCTCCTGGACACCCAGATTCACCCTCAAAGTTCAAGTGCAACCCAACTCCACTTATCACCTCCAATACTACTTACTCTTCTTTAATTTCTGAATCTTGCTATTAAAAAAATTATTCTCTTCCACAATATTGTCTTCTTAAGTGTGGGAACAGTGTCCAGTGTATCTGAATCTTCAATCTCCATCTCAAGCACAGTACCTGGCAGATGGGAAGAGTAAGGAAATGTTTGTGAATTCAATGTAATGATGGGATGACTTGGAAACCTAGTGGGAGATTGCTTGCTTTTTGAAACATACATAGATCATCTCCATCAGCTAATCTTGGCTTTGCTAAACTTAGGTTCAACTGACCTCGATCCTTTGATGATGTTGGACACTGGAGAAATCATTGATACAGAATCTGACTATGAAGACCAGGTAACTAAAATCTCAAAATATTTCTGTATTTGAATTTTTTGGATTTTTAACCTGCGCAAATGCTTCATGAAAATTAGAATTATACATCTTCGTTTTGTGAATTCTTTATAGATAATTCAACATATTTCATGATAAGTCATAGTAACCTATAGCTGTCTTTCACAAGTTTGTCTCTTTAGCCTTCCCTTATCCTCAGACCCAAAATAGCAGTCAGTTAAGGAAAGTTTTGTGGTTGAAAATTACTTGAGATAGAAGTAAGTTTCTCAGCCAAGATACCCCACCACTGACGAATGGATTAAGAAAATGTGGTATCTATACACAATGGAATTTTATGCAGCCATGAAGAAGAATGAAATGTTATCATTCGCTGGTAAATGGATGGAATTGGAGAACATCATTCTGAGTGAGGTTAGCCTGGCCCAAAAGACCAAAAATCGTATGTTCTCCCTCATATGTGGACATTAGATCAAGGGCAAACACAAAAAGGGGATTGGACTTTGAGCACATGATAAAAGCAAGAGCACACAAGGGAGGGGTGAGGATAGGTAAGACACCTAAAAAATTAGCTAGCATTTGTTGCCCTTAACTCAGAGAAACTAAAGCAGATACCTTAAAAGCAACTGAGGCCTAATAGGAAAAGGGGAACAGGTACTAGAGAAAAGGTGAGATCAAAAAGAATTAACCTAGAAGGTAACACCCACGCACAGGAAATCAATGTGAGTCAATGCCCTATATAGCTATCCTTATCTCAACCAGCAAAAACCCTTGTTCCTTCCTATTATTGCTTCTACTCTCTCTACAACAAAATTAGAAATAAGGGCAAAATAGTTTCTGCTGGGTATTGAGGGGGGAGGAGAGGGAGGGGGTGGAGTGGGTGTAAGGGAGGGGGTGGGGGCAGGGGGGAGAAATGAACCAAGCCTTGTATGCACATATGAATAATAAAATAATGAAAAAAAGAAAAGAAGTAAGTTTCTCTTGCTCAAGAATTTGCCTGTGTCTCTGCCCCTTCTCAGTTATAAACTAAAACCATGTACTGAGCAACAATAACAGGTTCAGGGCTCCACTAATATACTTCTAACCTTTGAAAAAAAGGAAACATATTCAAGAAATTAAAGGTATGTTCTGGTTAAAGAAAACTGCAGACATCTTTCTGGGTTGTTTTCCTCTTAGTATAAGAATTCTGTCTACTATTATATTGAATGATCTAAAATAGTTGGCAAATGATCCAACTCCCTAATTAGGCTTGATTTTTAAAAAAGATAATGTTTTAAACTTCCTGCCTCCTCCCATCAGTGCCCCTCAGCAATGGCTGAAAGCCAAGAGAACATGTTCTTATGAGGGCATCTATTCCCATTTTCAACTAATACATGTCACAGGCAAAGTAAACAGATCTGACTAGTATCCATACCTAATGGCTAATACACGGTTCACGTACATTCAGAAACTATTTTTATGAGCATTAAATTTCTTCCTTATAGCACAAAACAGAAGATATTGGCTGTTCTGTAATACCTACTGCATGATTATGGTAGTTTAGATATTTGTTAAGCACTTACTGTATGGAAAACGTTATGCTCACAAAGTTCCTTATGTCAATTGTTTCACCAATTCTTCACAATCTCACCAAAAGTAGAAATTATTATTTTTACTTTAAGAGACAAGAAAAATAACACAGAAAGAGCAATTTGCCCAACGTTCCACAAGTAGTTTCGCAGCGCGGACATAAACTTAGGGCCATTCCCCTATACCCTCACTATTTTGTGTCACATCCTAGCCTCCAAAGACAGGCCATTCAGTGGTACAGTTTTGAAGCTTTTTCAGTTGCTAACTCTTAAGGCCTCAGCAGAGTCAAATATCAATCACACAACCACTTGTAGCTTGCATCTAAAATTACAGACTTCACAAAGAAATGAGCCAGAATGAGAAAGCCAGCAACAAATAAGAGGCTTCACAAACCCGAGAACTAGAAATAACAGAAAAATCTGAAAGAAGTCTTAATATAGAGACATTTTAAATATTCAAAGTAATAAAAGGGAAGACTAGAAACCATGAAACAAGTACAGGAAAGAATAGGAAGAAAAAAAAAGGAAAGGAGAAGAAATAGACATTCAAGGTGCAAAACCTATTATCATTGAAATAAAAATTTGATTAACAGGTTGAAAAGTTGGCTGAACACAGCTAAAAAGAGACTTAATGGTAGAGCAGAGGACTTTGCCTTAGAGTAAAACAGAGAGCTAAATAGTTGTCCAGTATTAGAAGGAACTCAGTAGACATGGAGGATAGAATGATGGGGTCAAAATACGTATTCTAAAAGTTCCAAAAGGAAAGAATGGAGGAGAAGGAGCAGAGGCTCTATTCTAACAGATAGTAGTTGAGAATTTTACATAAATGAAAAACAAATCCCCAGATTAAAGGAGAACACCCAATCCAGAGAATAGTTTCAGAAAAATAATCTGAATCTGTTCTTCTAGCATTTAATCATTCAATAATCACTAACGAAGCCCGAATGTGTGACAGGTATTTTTTAGGTACTTAAATTGTGGAACTGCATGAAACGGGAGTGGATTCTTGTTTATCATTAGTAAATGATAAACATAATAAATTAGCAAATTCCCCAGGTCATCAGAATTGATGAGTTCTATGAGGAAAGGAGAAGTAGAGCAGGTCATGGGGTAGGAATCCTGGGAGGGCGACAGATTACAGTGTTAAAATAGGATGGTAGGATGGTCAGTACTAAATGGAATGACCTCATTAGAGAGCTGAGATATGAGCAAAAACATCATATAATGTGATGCATCAGAACACAGAGGAATAACAATTTCTCTGACAAGAGAGTAAATGAAACAGCATCCATTTACTGAATTGAGCATGTAGTATAAACCAGGCACTATATTTTATGGTTTACATGCATGATTGCTAATCCTTACAATAACCCAAGAAGGTAGCTCTGCACATTCCCAACTTACAGACTGAAGAAACTGAAGCTTATAGAAGATAAGTGATTTTTCCAAGACTTCACAGCAAACAAGTCACAGAATCAGAAATCAAACTTTGGTCTGCCTGCCACCAAAATCTAGCTTCTACTTCCACCACTCCAAAAGAGCCGTTATCAAGGTCACAAGAAGTCTATTGCCAATTCCAGTTAATACTTTGTAGCTATCTTTCTTGACCTGTGCTGCATTTGACACTTGGAAACTTTTTATCTTTAAAGGAGCAGGTAATAAATATTTTAGGCTTTGCAGGTCAGATTGATCTCTGTAACAACTACCTAATTCTGCAAAAGCAGCCCTAACAATACATAAACAAGGACATGGCTGTGTTCCAGTGAAACAATTCTTAAAGGGCACTGAAACCTGAATGCCAATGATTTTCATGTGATTTATTTCAACCATTTAAAAATGTAAAATTCTTTTCACCTAAGAGGCTGTGTAAAAATAGTCAGAAGGATGAATTTGACCTGCAGGCCATAGTTCACTGATCCCTGTCATAAACCATTCCCCCATTCTTTTTCTTTTTCCTTTTCTTTTGGCAGTTTTGAACTCAAGGCTTCCATTTTCTAAACAAGTGGTCTACCACTTGAGGCATGCCTCCAGTCCTTTTTTCTGTGATTATTTTTGAGATAAGTTCTTGCTTTTAGTTCAGGCCAGCCTAGAGTGCAACCCCCTATTTTACACTTTCTGCCACAGCTGGGGTGACAGACAGTCACTATCATGCCCCTCTATTGATTGAGATAGGGTCACAAAAACTTTTTGACCAAGCTGGTCTGGAACCATACTTCTCCTGATGTCAGCCTCCTAAGCAGTTAGGATTGAAGGTGTGAGCCACCAGCACCTGGCTCTTTCCCCCATTCTTGACATTTTCCTCTCCATTTATTTTAACATTTCTAGTACTTCACATTTATTAGCTAATCTCATCCTCAGACAACTATATTATCATCCCACTTTTACTGATAAAGAAACTAAGGCATAGAGAAATTAGGCAGTTAACTCAAGGTTACACAGCTGGCAAGAGGTAAAAGTCAGGATTCAAGAGGTAGAGTCAGGGTTCAAACTCAGAGATCTAACTCCAGAGCCAGCATCAGGAAAGGCAGGCTAGGCTATGCTGAGGGAGTAAATAGAACTCAGAATCTGAGTGCTCTCCTCCCAGAGTTCCTTTTACAAGTGACCTCCATATGGATTGCGGGTAGGGAGGAGGAGAGCTTGAGGAAGAAGCACCTGCTCTTAGTTGCACACTATCAACCCAGATGCAAGGATGCTGGAAAAGGCAGCATCTCTCTGTGTGCAGGAAGAGAGGATTTAGCAGGTGCCAAAGCCAGCCTCAGCCACAAAGCTCCTGCTCCTAACCACAGGTCGCAGTTCCTCTGTCCATGTGCTCTCTCTCCCCTGTTCACTCAATCTTGGCCTGCTTGCTGAACTCTTCACTGCTCCATTATTCAAATGCAGGTGCTCCCCACCATCCCAGCCATGATCCCTTCTCACCTTACTAAACACATTCTTTGAAAAGCTCAGTCACAGCCATGGTTTCAGTTTTACTTAGAGCTCCTTGGTAAGCTCCTGTTGCACATGTCTACTTACTAAATAGCACTGGCTGGATTTCCCATGTGCATCTCAAACTCAACACTTCCAAAACCAAGCTACCCTCTTCCCCCACAAAATCTGTTCTTCCTTCTGTTTCCTCTATTTCTGTGAATGATACACCCATCCTCCCCAGCTGCCCAAGCCAGAAACATGGGTGTCTTCCTAGTCTCCTTCCTTTCTCTGCCTCTCTACATCTGTCTGATCAAGAAGCTGGTCAGTTATCCAGTGCAGGAACTGCTCCTCCACTCTCCACTTCCATTGCCCCTGGTTTGGCCATACCCTACACCTTCCCCTCTGGGACCATGCCAGGCTTCCTACCCTAGTCTTCTCATCCCTCAAAGTGATCTTTGTGAAAACAAATCCATTTGTGACATTCCACTGCTCAAAATCCTTCTTGGCTCTTCATTGATTTTAGAATTAAAT